TTGCTTTAATTGTATAGACAAAAAGATACAATAAAAGTGAATGCACTGAAACATCTTTTGTACAATATTCAACACAAAAAGAAAGTCATACAGGTCTGGAATGACATGAAGTTGAGTAAATGATGGCAGAATTTTCATTTTCAGCTGAGCTACCTCTGTTTGAAATGATTATTCAGTAAATCACTGTCTTTCAAACAGAACTAGGCGATAAAACCATGTAAACCAGCTTTATTAAATGTCTACCCACACATAGTATGCAGAAACACATATAATACCAGCAACCGGATTACATATTTTGTTTAATCAAATATTCATAATGCTGCCAAGGAACTGCCTCAATTAACAGTGTTTCCATCTCATGTTTGAAACAGAGCAAAAGGTCTCTGGAGTGTCTCATTTTCACTGAGAGTACAATGATTTATCAGGACAAAGATTATCATTTAAAAAAAAAAAAGATGGAGGTGGTACAGTACCAGACACGGTTCCTGTGGCTCTTTTGTTTGCTGTGCAGGCTCCCTTCCTCCAGTTCAATCCGAATCATGAGGCCTGTATAACAGAAATTGACATACCAAGCATTGTTGGAAAGTGATTATTAGAAGCATATTTGGTTAAGATCCTACTCAATTCAACAAAAGTCCAGAGTCCAGCTGAGAGCCAAGTGCGTTTCACAAATGCATTATACAGGAACTAGTCAGGTGTGGAAATTGCATTGACAGACACTCGGATACACAATTTAACCTATGAAAAATCCATTTCCTTTTTTAGATTGGTGCATATGTGCCTGAATGAACTTTATTCACAAGTTTGATTGTAATGCATACGTTTTGCATCACAGGGGGAGAAAGACATAAAAAGAGGTCACAATTACCATCCTCAAATTCTGAATTTGTATAACATAGTCAAAAGTTCAAACAAGTTTTCTCATATTGAATGAACTGTTGAAGTATGGGTGAAGCACAAAGCAATTTATAGAGCAATGCAAGCAAGAAAATCTGAGAGAAATCTGAGCAACCTTCCCATTAATCCTCTGATTAATGATTCATGTCCAATAATAAAGACATGCCTCTTTTGACATCCGCGTTTATCATTCAGAAAGAATGTTAATAGATGCTGTTAATCACAAATTAATTAAGACAATGTGGAAGGTCTAAGTAAACGTAGGACTTTAAGTGGAAAAGGCAAGGCATGACTACAGAAAGACTACAAACTGGAATTCCTTCAGAATTTCTGAAAAAATCTAGGAAGACTTTGTTTCTTATTATACAGCAGTTAAGGGCTATTCACACAGAGGACTATAACAATTAAGTTTTGATGATCATTTTGATTCTATGAGAATAGGGAAGTATAATGATAACGGAACAAGAACAATATCGGTGGAATAACTTTAAGAACATTTTTATCCATTTGATGAATGTTAAAACCATTGACAATCAGAATCAACCCGACTTTAAAGCGAACAAGCATTTAAAGAGGTAGACGACAAAACTGCAGCGCCTGCTTATAATATACTGAACTGTGCATTGGTGGTGTGAATTTTTCATTACATCATTATGCCAATAGGTGGCGACAAATGGCTGTCTTTATAAGCAAGTCATTGGCTGCATCCAAATATGCATAGCAAAGTACGCACTTACTCAAAATAAGTAAGTGTAAGCAATTTTGGACGCAGCCATTGACTCATTTGCTCAAATGATTCATTCAAAACCACAGATTCATTCAGGATTTGAACAAGTGAGTAATTAATTGACCTACACTCAAACGATTCGTTCAAAAACAATGATTAATTCAGGAACAAAACAAGTGAGTAATTGAATCATTCACTCAAGCCACCCATTCAAGAATACTGATTTATTCAGGAATAATCTAATTATTGTTTTGAATTGTTTTTACTGGGGGAGCAAAAAAAGACAAATGTGCTTGCAATGTTGCATCCAAAATGAACATTATTCGATATTAACGGAAGAAATGTTGCAGTTGTGATCTTATGCTCTGTAGACATCTTACACTTCTTCAGAAATAAAAGAGATGTTCATTTCTCTATGGCTATGCCTGCAAACCAGACCTGTGAGTGCCAACAGGAGAAGCAGAACTCTGTGACTGATCCTCTCATGCTTGTTTAACACAGAAATGAAATGGATCAGTGCAGCAGAGAGTGATCTGGGTCAAACCTCTGCTTTAATCTGTTGGACCGAAGGTGACTATATACTGCCAAGCTCTCAGTGCAGTATTGCCAAGCAGGAGACAGCAACACTGGGTGCGTAATGCCTGTGTTGTGCCCAATTCTGACCCCCCACCAGATTATTACACCCCTAGTACTGGTAGGTTTAGGGTTAAGTGTGGGGGAGGGGTTAGGATTAGGGGTGGGATTTTGGATTAGGAAATCAGGTAGTAACTTCAATGGGAGGGGAGGGGGGGGTAATAATTTGTCAGGGAGTCAAAATTGGGCACAACACCTGCACCAGACTTTTTTCCCCAGCATTATATACTCTGTGACCTACACCACTGTCCTGGATCAGCATTGCTGCTCTGACAGGCAGCATTACTCACAAGTCCTTCCTAAACTGTATACAACAAAGATCAAATTTTAAACCATACCCCTAGAGAATAGACCAACAGAGGTGATTATAGGTCATAAAGTTAATATTAGACACCTTCAAGTCCCAGATCTCATCTTAACGGTAAGAGCTGAAGAATTTGAACATGAAACACCATCATATTAAGTCAATAGCAGTTGTTTTTTATGCACACCAGGCCATATGTTCAGTTGAAGACGCCAACAAAAAAAAAAGTTTCTCTCAAATCAGTATAGCATTGCAAGGTGAACCCAAGGAACATCTGACCTTTTTATTGTTGAATTTGACCTATTCAATAAAATGCATAATGTACACAACTCCTTCAAGCCAATAGAAACCATAGTTATATACTGCCACCCAATGTTCTGACACATATAGTACAACCTTACAAGCATAATCTGATATGAATGTTTATAGACACATGAATCATTATATATATATAATACTAAAACATATGATCTAATTGTAGAACTGTTGTTTTAGAAAACACATCAAATAACATTTATTTATATGTTATTTTAATTCACTAAAGCTATTACTACAATTGCTTTGAAACCAAAACATGCGCAAAGTCTGTATAATTTACTGAGAATTCAGGATATTTATCAAAAATCACTTTTGAGTTGTCTGATTCTATTCTAGGTTGTCTTATTCTATTCTATTCTATTCTATTTAAAAATATAAACGTATACACCACTTCAAACATTGAAAATGCTTAAGCCAATCTTTTGGCCCAACAGTCAAATAAGACAAACACACAGTTCTTATGTTCAGCTGTTGATTTATTAAATGTCTATATCTGTTTTAGCAACAAACAAGTTGCAACAAGGGAATAATATTGAAGCTTGTTTCCACCACGGGATAAAATGTATCAAATAAAAAATATTTGAGTTTTTATAACAAAGATAAAATTTTAAACCATACCCCTAGAGAATAGACCAACAGAGGTGATTATAGGTCATAAAGTTAATATTAGACACCTTCAAGTCCCAGATCTCATCTTAACGGTAAGAGCTGAAGAATTTGAACATGAAACACCATCATATTAAGTCAATAGCAGTTGTTTTTTATGCACACCAGGCCATATGTTCAGTTGAAGACGCCAACAAAAAAAAAAGTTTCTCTCAAATCAGTATAGCATTGCAAGGTGAACCCAAGGAACATCTGACCTTTTTATTGTTGAATTTGACCTATTCAATAAAATGCATAATGTACACAACTCCTTCAAGCCAATAGAAACCATAGTTATATACTGCCACCCAATGTTCTGACACATATAGTACAACCTTACAAGCATAATCTGATATGAATGTTTATAGACACATGAATCATTATATATATATAATACTAAAACATATGATCTAATTGTAGAACTGTTGTTTTAGAAAACACATCAAATAACATTTATTTATATGTTATTTTAATTCACTAAAGCTATTACTACAATTGCTTTGAAACCAAAACATGCGCAAAGTCTGTATAATTTACTGAGAATTCTGTCATTTTTAATTAAGAGAAACAGCACTTAGATTTGAATTAGAAAGTAGATAAAATTGCTTTAGATTTGAATTAGAAAGTAGATAAAATTGCAAGCAATTTGATCTACTTTCTAATTCAAATCTAAGTGCTGAAAATCAACAGTACAGAAAAACTGAAAGGCTTGAATTTAAAAGCTTTGAGCCATTTAGAACATCCGTTGAATCATTCATTATTTTGCACTGACAACCTTAGTTATAAACTGTAAAGCACAATCTAATGTTTTCATGAGACTTTCTAACAAGTTGTTATAGCTTCATTCACAAAGAGTAATAAAACTGTTCTGCCAACATGACTTTGAAAACTCTCAGGATATTTATCAAAAATCACTTTTGAGTTGTCTGATTCTATTCTAGGTTGTCTTATTCTATTCTATTCTATTCTATTTAAAAATATAAACGTATACACCACTTCAAACAGTGAAAATGCTTAAGCAAATCTTTTGTCCCAACAGTCAAATAAGACAAACACACAGTTCTTATGTTCAGCTGTTGATTTATTAAATGTCTATATCTGTTTTAGCAACAAACAAGTTGCAACAAGGGAATAATATTGAAGCTTGTTTCCACCACGGGATAAAATGTATCAAATAAAAAAATATTTGAGTTTTTATCTCAAAATACTGACCTTTTGTTCTCAGAATTCTGATTTTTTTTTTCATACTTTCTCAGATTTCCCAAAATTGCAAGCTAAAATCTCAGAACTGCGAGAAAAAAAAAGTGAATTGTGAGATAGAAAGTAATAATTACCTTTTTTATTACGTGGCAGAAACAAGTTTATATCTTGCAATTCCGACTCTCTTCTAGAATGTCTCAGTATTCTCACGGTTCTGAGTTTAATTTGATTTAAATTCTGATTGCAAGAAAAGAAAGTCAGAATTGTTAGTGCCACAGAGAAAAGCATTGCATAAGATGATGAGAGTCAGGAGAGTAAAGGATTTCAGCTTCTTCTGGCAGGTATGGAACAAGTACAGATGACACTGTGTGGGAAGAAGATAAAGATCTGAGTTAGACGCTTAAACGGACATGATGTGCATTTGATGGTGTTATAAATGGAAACATTAAATATTACAAATGCATCATCTTTTATGCTACATGCAGAGTAGCACATGCAGAGTGTTACCTGGCAAACACAGCAAAGAAATGCCAAAAGAAATGCCACCACATTCCACAAACCATCATAATCATCCTGTAAAAAATTGGGTCATATCATAAATAAGACATTTAATCGCTTAATTAATTATAATAAAAATTAATGCCACCACATTCCACAAACCATCATAATGATACTGTAAAATACTTGTCATATCATAATTTAAAAACTTTATTACTTAATTATAATAAACTTAATTACCTCTATATACATATCTGTCTCAGGGGTTATTATTGGGATTTTGCACCAGTTTTATTTTACTATTATTAATATACTATTATAATATTTTTTAAATAATTTGAATTCGTTTTTATTTTAAAATTTCAATTTTCATTTTCATTTTAGTTTAAGTTTTAGCAATTTAGTTATTTGCTTTTGTCATATGTATTTTTTATATTTTAAATGTTTAAATATTTCTGTTTAGCTTTCATTTGTTTTTATTTTAGTACTTCAACTTCAACTATTTTATTTCAGTTAGCTCAATTAGTAATAATTTTATTTCATCTATTTTTCGATTAACGAAAATGACTTTTAAAGTTTTAGTCAACAAAAACAACAAAGTTTTGCAGGTGAAGAAATGGAACATTTTGTGCTGATTCTGAAGCCCTAGACAAGATATGAACGTCCTCCATCTCAAAAAGCATAATTACCTAAGCTGTAATTACCTACCTAGTCCTGCAGACACATGCTGCTAGTGATAAATTAATTAAATAAGTGATCAATTAAAAAGCAAAATATTTGATATATTAATATATAATTCAGAAAAATACACACACACACACACACACACACACACACATATATATATATATATATATACTATATATGTGTAGGTATGTATGGGCCAATATTTGATATTTAATTGTGCATGCCTTAATTTTACATTTAGTTTACCTTTGTCATCTAATGCTCACTTAAGTTTAAAAACAGTAATATTTTAAGGACTGTTAAACATAATCTTTAGCAAAAGAAAATCATAATGTAATTTATTAAGTTGTGATGGCTAAATTCACTTGCAGCATTTAACAAGTTGATTTTTTTTTGTATTTAATTTTTTATTTATTTAGACAAAATAGTATAAAAACTTAAATTTGGCCATTTATCAGTAATCATCCATAATGTTTCTAATCAAGATAGTTCTGTCCCAAATTAACATCTTGAACCATAGTGTTACCTGGAAGGTGTATTCAATAAGATGGACACCACGTATAAGGTTGAGGGCAGCACACATGATGTTAAGAACCAGTGAGAGGATCCCTGGTGCTGAGACTGGTTCCAATCTCTGACCTTGACCTTTAAAAAAAAAAAAATCAATAATCAGTCAAAACATATGTCCAACTTAAGACGCGGAATAACCCTTATGAATTCACTGTATTCATCACTACAGCAAACCTGATGCAGCTGTTTGTTCTACATGCCCATTGGCTGCTCCATTGGTGAGTAACATGTCCTCTATGGTGAGAACCTGAGGGGGGCTGGTTCTGAGGTCTTCCTGTACTTCGGCCAGGGTGACCTCCAGAGATGGACCCCCTTTCTGATTATAATGCTGCTGAAGTTTTTGAATGGCACTATCTGAAATAAAACCATCAGACAAACTCATGCTCAGCTTATGACTTATCTTAATTTGCATATTCATGGTTTAAATGCAGTATTAATGACACCCATAACTCATCTAATGCCTAATCCAATCACTTTTATCTGTCATCCTACCAAACTCAAGAAAGGGGTACGGCCTCCTTGCCAGGGCCACTGCAGAGTTGTCAAAGCATGCTGTGAATTCCCAGCGCAAGTCTTCCAAGAAGCAGAAGGCCGTGGCAGCAGGGAGACTGCATGCACATACGGTCATGTAGGACACACCCTCGGCTGAGAGGAAGCTACAACACAGAGACCAATTAGTTAACAAATGATTTCACAGGGCAGCCACCAATTTCCTTGGCTTATCTTGGACTCTGGAATGCAGGTAAACAAGATTCTAATCATTCGTGTATCTGATATGGCAACACTTGATCCACTTATATTCCCCGTTATTTTCATGCATCTCATGATCTCAAAAGTTGTGAACGAAGAGCTAAGAGTGGATGGTTCCATTTTTATTAACCAACATTACTAAAGATGAATAAATACAAATGTATTGATGATTGTTATTCTTTAAAAAGTAAACAAATTAATATAAATATTACTTTTTAAAGATAAATTCATAAATAGACTATAATAAAGCTTCCAAAAGTTTTTTTTGAGAAATGCCATAGAAGAACAATTTTTGGTTCCCCAATAACCTTTTAGTGAATAGTTCTTTTTTTTTCTAAGTGTGAAGAACATTTTAAAATCTAAATAACCTTTTTTCAGTGTATAGAATGTAACTGAAACAGTGTAATTGAAAGGATCTACACCTTTAAAAATAAAAGGCAAGTTGGAGCTAAACTCTGCAGGACACCGGCCCTCCAGGACCGAGTATGGTGACCCCTGAATCTGTCCCGCCAGTTTCATAATAAACCGAAAATGTATTTATACTTCTCATTATAATGTAGGGTGACCATACGTGCTCTTTTGAAACATACCTGGCCTGGATTTCTATATTGCCTAAAATATCCAGGTTTTGGCTTTGTTTTTCTGTTTTCATACTTGCTTTCGACTTGAAGCAGCACTGCGCAGGCCGATCGGTGCATGACACCAAAGTACCGTCAGAGCTATAGAGAGCAGACGGCTCCTTATGCTTTTGAATCGCTCTCACGGTACATTGATGTCAAACACCGAGCGATCGAACACACCTAATATGTACGCATATTTGCATCACTTTGACCGTTCTCTGTAGATCCCACCTTATCATATGCCACGACTGGTCGATTATGTACAATGCCTGCATGTACAAAAACTGCTCATACATGTGTGTAGCATCTTTCTTTGTATCACGATTAAAATACAGTGGTTGCCTTTAATTTAATATGGCTACAAATATTTTTTGTTTATTACATTTTTTGCACTTTCATGGCCGGGAAAAAATATTTATGGCCTATGACATTATTGTCCACAATAGTGCACTTACTGAATGTTGAGCTCATGGCCCTTGACTGTCCCTCTCTCTGGTAATGAACTTAGGGATTTTGAGATCACTTTCAGCTGTTGCTTTCTCTCCTGAAGTTCCTTATTATGCAGGAAATCAGTGGAGGCGGAGAGAGGGAGTCCATCCCTGACCCGGACAACAAAGGCAAACAGGATCAGTGACATGCTCCTCGTGGATCTCTATGAGAACACATCCTGAACAAAAAGCAAAGGTAAGATACTGATGATTATTTAATTATGAAGTAGAAGGATGGAGGAAAGGGATGCTATTCACTTCAAAAGTATAGCTGCAGCTGTGGATGTAGTCTAAACTAGAAGTAAAAAAAAAAACCTATACCTATTTAAAAAAAAATACTAATACATTATTAAAATCAAAAGTTGTTTTTGTAAATGTTCAATTGATCTGGGCTCACATGAACTAACAATGAACAGCTATTTTTTTACTAACTGTTAACAACTATAGATTATTAAATACTGTAACCTAATAGACCTTATTAAGTGTTACCACTTATTTTTACTATTTTTCATACTATTTTTTTGCTCTATAAAACACATTTATACATAGGTAAAATGTTTATGTCTAAAAAATGTATTTATTTCAAACATTTAAGCATAGGCCTTAAGATCAAAACATTAAGATCATGAAGATATAAATTCGGCAAAGTGTATCCAAACTTGTTCCTGGTAGTGTAGGTCTATGCAATCTAAAGACCAATATTACTACCTTCCATATTACAACATATGCATATTACAAATATATACAACATATTACAATGCTGTTCAGCATGTTTCATTGAAAATCAATTTGATTAGCAAATCAAATGTCCACGATGGCAAACTATTTTAAAAGCTAAGTTGCATTAATTTGAAAGAGTTTTAATAGAGGAAAAGGATTCCACCACTGGTTTGGTACTGATCACATTTGCAAAGTTTGTATATAATGTATAATTAAATGTGGACTTGAATTCATCTGCCTGTTATTTCAGTAGTTCAAATACAGTCATTCTGCTAGCAGGTGCAGATGCGCTTTACCATCCCTTACCTTACAACAGCTCAATACATTTACGCTGAGCATGTGAAACAGTGAATTTGAAGTGCACATGAATATAACAACTACGTTTCAAAAATCCCTCAAGATAATTATTGTTATTTATGACTTAATGATATTAAGACGCGACCAGAGGCTTTTTGTTTGCCTCTCTGAATTATGGGAAACAAGAGCGACAGTCGTTACTTCAAAATAAAGGTTCTTTAAGATCAGTTTCATAATATCAAATGCCGATTTATTCTTATTTGTTCTATTTACAGACAGTATAGAAATAAAAAAGAATAATAATTATTAAAAAAAAACTTCAATATTTTTTTTTTATTCGTCAAGAAATTTAGCATGAATAATATTAACTTATGTAAATCATTTTCGTTATTCTCGGGGCAGAAACAACAACCATTTTTGTAATGCTGTTGGTTTCCGACAGTCGGCAGCTGTGCAGCATCTCAAGATAAAGTAAAATACAAAGTCGAGAAACAGCGTTGCCATGTCCTCTTTTTATGAGCGGCTTATAAAACTAAATCAAATTTCGTGGGTTGCGATTTTTGGGATTATTTAAAGAACAGTCCCGTTGTGGAGGGAAGACAGATGGTGGTATTTATGAAAATTAATCAGTTTTCCATAATTCATACGCAACTATCCCGCCACCCAGGGGCGATTCTACGATTTTCATTTTAGGGGGGCTCAGCCCCCAGTGAGGGTATACTAATAATAGCCTAATTATATATATATATTAAGATAAAAAATGTTTGATTAATAGGGGTCGTATACTAAACTTATTGCAGTATTCCACTGTATTGCATAGATATAGGCTACATTTGAGTACTGAATAAGCCAAATTCAAGTCTTCATGATCTCACACACACAACCTGTTTACTGTACAAACGCAAAATGATTGTTTTATAAATTATGCGTTCATATGTGCTTCATTTTCACTGGAGGAAACAGCTGTGGTGTGATGAATGCAGTGAAAACTGTAGATGGGGAACCGATTATTGCTCCCCCCATGATATATTGTAAACTGGATTTATGACAAAGAACTGCACAGATGCAGATATTATAACAATCTATCGATAAACACACACCTTGTCCTCTGTTTCTCGCTCTGCGCCGCCGCAGTCTGCGGATTGAAAAAAGAACGCGCTGAAAGTCGAGGAGCCGATCGAAGTCTGCCGCCGTTTTCATATGAAACGACGTCCATTTAGAACAGCATATCTGCGCTTTATTCTTATTGACACTATACACTCATGCTTTAAACGACACGCGTTTTATTTGCGGGGTCTGTGCGCAGCATGTGTTTAACGATGCTCAGAGCAGGCTGTACCTGTGGTAGGCTAAATATACGGCCCTCAGACAGAACAGGCAGGCTATCGATGAGTGACCAAGCAGAATAAGGATGGAGCAAAGTGTGGATGCGCTGTCTTTGAAGGACTTTCAACTCGGTTTTGTTTATATTTTGCTTAGCCTATAATTTTAAATGAAAGATAGTAGTCATATTTATAAATTTTTCTCTGCGACACTTTGCCTACTGTGTTAACAGAAAAATGTCAAACGAATTTAGTATTTTGACAAGACGAATAAAAATAGCTAATAGGCTATTTTTGTACAACCTACATTTTTTTTTCTCTCTCTCTGCGACACTTTTCCCCTATTGTGTTGTCAATGTTAAACGAATTGTATCCTGACAAGACGAATAAAAATACGAAATAAAATTTTTGTACATTTTTATTTTCTCTTACACTTTTTTCATACTGTGTTGCATAAAATATTAAACGAATTTTGTCTTAAGATAATATAAATTCAAGTCAAAGTCAATAAATTCAAGACTCTTGACAAGACGAATAAAATAACATACAATTTTGTGCAGACTACACTTTTATTTGTCAGCCTGTCTCTCTTTATAGAGACTATAGCCCCCCTAAAAATGGCCTAGCGACGCCCATGCCGCCACCCTTTCACCGCTCCCTCAAACAAAAATAGCATGCTCGATTCTCATGAGAGATCTGGCAACACAGCAGGAGCTACAGCGGACAGCAGACAGAGCGGGTTTAGAAAGTTAAAAGCTTTTCGCCCTTTATCTACACAGGTAAGTGTAATGCAATGAAACTATCTGTTTGTATCAGTACACGAATAGGACTATATCTGAGTCATACGGGTTTTTTTAATTAAATAAATTGCCCATGAAGATTCATTTCCGTGTTCTTGCAAAACGTCGCCAGTTAGCTTTTAAACAATGTTAGCCAGCTGCCAAACGAATTTTGCCCAAAACCAAAACATTTAATTGCAGTGTTTACAGTTATGGTTTATGTTATTTTTTATTATTTTAAGTAGAATTTATTTATTTTTTACTGAAGTCGTGAGGTGTTGTTAGCTACCCGTAACGTTACATCTGTTTAGCAACTGGCTGGCTGGTGTGTCTCAACGAACACCTCATTTTACTTTCTCTGTGGTTCAACACTGTAGTTCAATTTAAGTTCATTAATTGAAATCACAACCATACTTAATGTGATATTTCGTATATTTATTATCAGGCGTGTTTTGATTCTAGGCTCGGCACATTTATTTAAACCGCTAACGTTACATGACTGCTACCGTCATATTGTAGTAAATGAATGTGTTCTTGTGTTTATGTCTTATGTAGTACAATCAGAGATTGGAAGTTTGCCTGATCTCAGACAGGTTACACAATGTAATGTAGAATGAATTATAACTGCAGATATTGTCTGCGATATTGTCTGTAGGTGTTGTCATGAGTGCTCCAACCCCTTTGTGAGGCTGTTGAACATCAAGTCCATGCTTATTGACAATAATTATGCAACCCATGGATTTAAATCTGCAGTCCTGTAATATGTTTTAAAGGGGTCATATGATGCAATTTCATTTTTTCCTTTCTCTTTGGAGTGTTACAAGCTTTTGGTGCATAAAGAAGATCTGTAAAGTTGCAAAGACTAAAGTCTCAAATCCAAAGAGATATTCTTTATAAAAGTTAAGAGTCAGCCACACCCCCCTAAAACGGCTCGTTCGAACACGCCCCCACATATCTACCTAACTGTGTGGGAAGATTTGCATAACGCCGCCCAAATGTTCACGCAAAGAAAGAAGACCTAACTTTATTCTCGCTGTAGTTTTGTTGTTGCCGCCGCCATGTCGTAAAGATGCTGTGTGCTTTGTTGTGAAGCACACCTTGCTTTTTCAGACCGATGAGCTTTGTAAAAATCGACGCGTTTCAGAAGGCGGGGCATAGAGGAGAAACAATAATGTACAGTATGTGGAAAATAATGTATTTTTTTAACTTTAAACCGCATAAACACATTTCATTACACCAAATACACAAAATAATGTTCTTTTTAGCAGCATCATATGACCCCTTTAATATCCGTGAATGGATTAGCAGATGTTTTGTTCCGAGCATATAAGACATATAGAAGAATAGTTCTTAAAATTTCACTTGCCAAGCAAGCTATTCCAGTTCAGTCTAAATGTATTTAAAAGTGATCAAGCATATTTTTTGGTAATGATACTGTACAAGTGGAACCAGGAGTGTTCCTTGTATTTATTTTTGTAATTGTTTCCAGATCTGACACATGGAAATGTCCTCTTTCTCCTCCTGTGACATTCACTCTGACATTTGCCATTTCCACAAGTAGACAGCCTGTGTTAGCAGTCAGTGGACTGATAAACAAAGTTATTTTGATATGGGAAAGCAGCTGGCACAACATTTTCCAAAGTTGTAACATAATATGTGCCATAAGGAAGTTCAATAACTTCATTCACTTCTTGTAATTTGTATTGTAATGTGTTAATCTGATGGCAAGTCATTCCTCTGCTCTGCTAAAAGACTTTAGTGTCTGTGATTTAAGGAAAAGTAAGTCAGAGCTGTTTGACATGGTGTGAAAATTTACTCAACCTCAGGTCATCCAAGATATAGATGAGTTTGTGTCCTCATCGGAACAAATTTGGTGAAATTTGGCCATACATCACTTGCTCACCAATAGATCCTCTGCAGTGAATGGGTGCCGTCAGAAATAGAAAAACAGTTCTAAACAAATATATATCGGTGAGTTTTAGTGTAAAAGGACAACAGGGGATTGATTTTCACTGGAGGATGCACAATTATGGATTACGGACTGGTATGTTGGCTGGAAGTGACAGTTTAAAGTTAAAACACCTTCATGATGGATTATTATCTTATAGAAATTCAGCTTTTCACGTCACAAGTTGTTAACTGATGGACTGGAGTTGTGTGGATTGCTTGTGGTTTATTGTGATAATTTTATCAGCTGTTTGAACTCTCATTTCGACAGCACCCATTCACTGCAGAGGATCCATTGGTGAGCAAGTGATGTAATACTAAATCTCTCCAAATCTGTTCTGATGAAGAGACAAACTCATCTACATCTTAGATGGCTGGAGGATGAATATATTTTCAGCAAATTTTCATTTTTGGGTGAACTATTCCTTTAAAGTTGAAATGAAATGAAAATGTACCCTTTTTAAATGCATGTTATTGATTTTATTATGAATGATTCATTCTTGCATATGATTTGTTTTTATTTATTTATTTTTTTGACCTTGTAACATTTAATCAAAATGTCATAGCTGGATCTTCCGACAGATTTCTAGCTCTTGTGACATATACAGGACTTCTCCAGTCATTTAGTCCGCTTAAACGCCGCCCTTGCACGCTCATGTTCATCTGCCTCCATTTTTGAGGGCAACGCCCACATCTCAAAATCCAATCAACAACTGATGCATAGAACCAAGTCCCGCCTACATTCCCCCCCCCCCAATAATCCATTAAACTCTGATGTACAATACAGAAGAAACGATCTGTCGCTACCCTATGCAAAAGCACACCTAAATTTGAATGCTTTTGTATTTGAATATTAAGATGATGTTTTGGTTTGCCACACCTGTCAACCTGAAAGTTATAGTCTATATAAGTTGAAATGCTATAGTCACACTCTGATGTACAATACAGAAGAAACGATCTGTCGCTACTTCTGTTTTGGCACATATTTTTAATGTCCATGCTTGGTTCTTGTTTAGTTTATTTGGGCCCTTACTAAACTATGTTTGGAGCACCTCCCCAAACAAAAGTTCGACTGTCTTTAAACACAGCCCAAAGATAGCACACATCTGGTTTAACCAGGGTTCCTAGT